AGGTGGGAGGAGGGGATAGGTGGGAGGAAGAACAGGTTTTGGGATGCGGTAGGGGGAGGGGAGTCAGTGAGTTACGTTTAATGTGGAGCAATTGATGTTTTGTATCCAAACACTCAATGGAAGCATGCAGGTACAGCAAAGCAATCAGGAAAGTAAATGACACATTGGTCTTTATACCAAAGGGACTGCAGCACACGGACAGTACCTCAAAATCCAGCCAAGTTTGCCGATTTTGTGCTTTCCTGGATCTTGGACATTGAATCTCTACTGTACCTAAAACTAATAAAGGCCCTGAAACTAATAATGAACCTATATATAGTAAAGGAACCTGAATATAATACAGACCCTGAAGCAGATACTCACAGATACTGGCATCCAGGTTAACCCGAGACTAAATGTTTCTGTCAATAGTCACTTGGGCCAGGGACCCGACCTTACACAAAGGTTGAGCTGCAAATGAAGCAGCCGTCCCTAGTACACAATTGCCCAGCTCGGGTAGGGCTGCAGGTGCCCAGTAGTGACCCTGAGGTTGGCGGAGCTACATTAGGTTCTCCAGCAGTCACATGTTTCTCTTACCCCATTGGCACCTACTCACCCACACGTCCCTGGTGGAGAAGAACCAAGGGAAACCTGAGGATGAGATTCCCTCTGAAAGAATGGAAGAAAGACTCTACTCCACAACAGGAACAAAATGTGGAAACTCATCTTTCTGCAGGGGAGAGACAATCTGCCTGAGTGAAGGAAGTAGGAACGAGACAAACTGAGTCGAGGGATAATCAATAAGATAGAGTTGGAACGATCCTGACACTAGTCAAGTGCGCCATTTCAAAAATGTCTATTAGTCACACAACTCCAGTTTTTGGACTGCAGATTTGAGGGCCTGCATCTGTACATGTATAAGGGAGTCTTGCTACGATTGAACAGGGTTTTTGGCGTTAACACTAGTGAAACATTGTGGAAGTTTTGGTTTCTACATTTAAAGAAGGCAGTGGACATAGTGCAGCAAAAGGTTCACTTGATTGGTTCCTAGGATTAGAGCATTGCTCGATGAGAGGTTGAGTAAATTGGGCCTTCAGGGAACAAAAGGTGAACTCTTTGAAAGATACTAAATTCTGAAGAGCTTGTGGACTGGGAAGGTGTTTGTCCTGGCTGCAGAATCTAAAATGCTGGATCACAGTCTCGGGACTAAGGGTCAATTATTTAGCGCAAATACATAAAAAGCTGCTTCAATGCTGCTCTGTCATTCACCATGATCATAGCTGATCTTCAGCTTCTCTTTCTCCACTTTTCCAACTGCTCCTGATATCCCTCAACTTCCAGAGAGACCAAAAATCTATCTATCCCAGTCTCAAATGTACTCAATGGTGCAGCATCCACAACTTTGGGCTGGAGAATTCCAAAGATTCACAACATTTCAAGTGAAGAAATTTCTCCAGATCTCTGTCCAAATGATCGGTCCATTATCCTGAAACTGTGTTGTCTTGGCACCATAAAAGCCTGGATTGTTAATTGAATTCAAACCCCACCATCTGCCATGGTGGGATTTGAACCCATCACCCCAGATCATTAGTCTGGGCCTCAAGATTACTATTCGAGTGACATAACCACTACACCACTGTCTGCCCCTAAAATATAGAATCCCTACAGTGCAGAAGCAGGCCATTCAGCCCATTGATTCCATACTGACCCTCCAATGAGTATCCCACTCTGAACCAGCCCCACATCCTATCACCCTGCATTTCCCATGGCTAATCCATCTAGACTGCACATCCCTGGACACTATGGGCAAGTTAGTCAGTCCTGCACACTTTTGGACTGTGGGAGGAAACTGGAACACCTGGAGGAAACCCACGCAGACATGATGAGAATGTGCAAACTTCACACAGACAGTTGCCTGAGGGTGGAACTGAACCCAGGTCCCTTGCCATTGTGAGACAGCATTGCCACTGTGCCATCATGGCACCTCAATGTAATGTTTATTCGAGATATCTTCAAAATGATGCAATTAATAAATACTTCACTTTATTATTAAAGATTAAATGTAATACGAGTGACTCTGTTTGCCTGGGGAAGTAAAGTTTGCACTAATAAAGATTCAGAAGAATTTTTTTTATTTCACCTATTTTTATAATCAACCTGTTCAAGAGATGTTATTATACACCTCTGGAGCAGGTGGAATTTGAACCTGGGTCTCCTGGTCCACGGATGGGCATGCTACCACTGCACCAACTTTTGATAAATGCACGACACTTGGAATAGATTCGATTATGGATTGGATTATTTCTGCTTCAATTCTCTACTCAGTAACACCTTTGCATCATTTGTAATTACATTACTGATCTAGGATGATCAATTGACATGACTCTTGTTTTATTGTGGGCTGCAAGTCTGGTAAGGGACAAATCCACATAAATATCCCTAAACGTTTTGATCGATAGTCAAGAACTTTCTTTAAAAAGAAACCGCCCTGGTAAGTGCTCAAGTTGCTCAGAAGCCCCCAAACATACCCTAAACATCATTTCACACCACAATAGAACATAGAACATAGAACTGTACAGCACAGTACAGGCCCTTCGGCTCACGAAGGCCCACGGCCCTAACCTCCACCCCTACTTGATACTATCATCCATATGCCTATCTAATAGCCACTTAAATGCCCCTAATGAGGCCGACTCCACTACCCTCTCCAGCAATGCATTCCATGCCCCTACCACCCTCTGAGTAAAGAACCTACCTCTGACGTCTCCCCTATATTTACCTCCACTCACTTTGAAACTATGCCCCCTCGTAATAGCTACCTCCACCCTAGGAAAAAGTCTCTGGCTGTCCACTCTATCTATACCTTTGATCATTTTGTACACCTCTATCAAGTCACCTCTCATCCTTCGTCGTTCTAAAGAGAAATGCCGTAGCGCTCTCAACTTTTCCTCGTAAGACCTTCCCTCCATTCCAGGCAACATCCTGTAAGTCTCCTCTGCACCTTTTCCAATGCTTCCACATCTTTCCTGTAATGAAGTGACTAGAACTGGACACAATACTTCAGATGTGGCCGAACCGGAGTTTTGTACAGCTGGAGCATAACTTCACAGCTCTTGAACTCAATCCCTCCATTAATGAAAGCTAACACACCATACGCCTTCTTAACAACTCTATCCACCTGGGTGGCAGCTTTCAGGGAACTGTGGACATGAACCCCAAGATCCCTCTGCTCCTCCACACTGCCAAGAATCTTTCCGTTAACCCTGTATTCTGCTTTCAAGTTTGTCCTTCCAAAATGAATCACCTCACATTTTTCAGGGTTAAACGCCATCTGCCACTTCTCAGCCCAGCTCTGCGTTCTATCAATGTACCTTTGTAACCTAGAACAGCCCTCCGCACTATCCACGACTCGACCCACCTTCGTGTCGTCCGCGAACTTACTAATCCACCTTTCCACTCCTACATCCAAATCATTTACAAAAATCACAAATAAAAGAGGACCCAGAAAGGATCCTTGTGGTACACCACTCGTAACTGGGCACCATGTTGAATATTTTCCGTCCACTACCACCCTTTGTCTTCTAAGGGTCAGCCAATTCTGAATCCAATCTGCCACATTTTCCCCCTATCTCATGCCTCCTTACTTTCTGCATGAGCCTGCCATGGGGAACTTTATCAAACGCCTTACTTAAATCCATGCATACCACATCCACTGCTCTACCTTCACCCACATGTTTGGTCACCTCTTCAAAGAATTCAATAAGGTTTGTGAGGCATGATCTACCCCTTACAAATCCATGCTGACTTATCACAAATCAAACAGCCTTTCCAAGTGATCATAAATCCTACCTCTCAGAGCCCCTTCCAATAATTTGCCCACCACTTAAGTAAGACTAACTGACCTGTAATTTCCGGGGTTATCCCTATTCCCTTTCTTGAACAAGGGAATGATGTTGCCACTCTCCAATCTTCTGGCACTATACCCGTTGACAGCGAGGACGAAAAGATCATCACCAAAGGCCCTGTGATCTCTTCCCTCGCTTCCCATACAATCCTTGGATAAATCCCATCAGGCCTGGGGGACCTATCTACAAGTTCCTCAAAATTCCTAGTACATCTTCCTTACTAACATCCAACTCCTCTAGCCTACCAGCCCTGTTTCACACTGTCCTCCCCTACAACTACGTCCCTTTCAGCTGTGAATACCGAAGAAAAGTATTCATTAAGGACCTCTCCTACCTCTTTAGGCTCCGTACACAAATTGCCTTTACAATCCTTGATCGGCTCTACCCTTTCTCTGGTGCAATTTTCAACACTTTGCCAATTAAGGCTAATCACTGCCCAAAATTAGGCTACCCCTAATTCTCAGGGCAGTCATCAGCAAAGTTTGAAATGGTGCAGCAGCAGATTCGTGACTGGCTTGAAGTAGAAAAGACAAAACTGCAGGACTGGTGATTGGTTAATACTCCAGTCTTTGAATGACCTCTCTGGGACTTCCTGAGGAGAAACATACACACACACAGACATTAATGGATCATTTCCCCCAGACAGGAGTGCTTTCCCTATTCTTGTGCCTGGTATTTGTTAGATACACAATGGGATCGACCCCTGTACCATCTGCAACTAACAAGCGTTTCATACTTTCTCTTTCTGACACTGAAGCCCCTTTCCTCTACTCATTGACACTGAAGCCCCTTTCC